TGATTTCCGTTATGTAGATATTTCCCCATACGTGGGTGATTATGGTCGTTGTTGTTGATGATGGCTGGTTGGTGAAGATGGCGAAGATGGTGCCTGATGATGATTAGAGCAGAGCAGCCAAAACGAAAAGAAGGAATTGGGAGTTGATTTGATAATTTCGTGGGGGGATTTATTATTATTTTGTTTTCCTTTGTTTTTCCTTTTATTATTTTTACTTCTTTTTACTTCTTTATTTTATTTCTTTAATTATTCTATTTTCTTTTTGTTTTCTTTTATTAACTTGTAATATAAATACCCCTTTGGGGTTTTATACTCTCTTAACAATTATTCACTCGTTTAGTTCAGTTCAGTTTATTTTTATTTTCTCTCTCTTAGGGTTAGATTATTTTCTCTCTCTAGTTGAGGAGAAAGTTTAGAGAGAGAAAGTTTGGATTTTTTCATGGAGTTTTGAGAGGTTGAAGAAGCAATTTGTGGAATTTTTCTTATCACATATTCAATGAGTCGTCCTAACTTTCTCTTATCTTTATTGCTTTCCGTTATTTCTTGTTTTGATTAATTGTTTATTTATTAAAGTTGTTAATTATTTTAATAGTTTAATTTTAGCTTTAATTCTAGTTTTACCTAGCTTTTCGTGTTCTTTTTATCATGTTAGCCTAGATTTTATTCTAGGGAATTGGATGAAGATTATGTTGATAAATTGAATGATTGATTGTGATTTGTATGAAATTGATTCTTGATTATTGTGTATGGATGATGCTTATATGGATTAGAATCTTTCTAGCTAATTGGTTCTATGTTATTAATTGTGCTTTCCATCAATTGTGCGAAAGTGAGTTAATTGAGAGTCTAAATTCCTCCATACCAGGCTAGTTGCACGAGAGTGAATTAGTAAAGTAGGATAATTAACATGCTTAATTGCGCGAGAGTGAGTTGAGTGTGTTGATTGTTCCTAATTGAGGTCATTTTCATCTAATTGCAATGTTGTTGTTGAATGAATTAATGTAATTGGATTCCAATTTCCAGTGTTGCCTTGCTTTAATTTTATGCTTGTTTGTTGTTAGACCTTTATAGATATTGTGTCTTACTTGCATAATAGCTCCCCTTCAGACCAACTTGATGCAATAAGAACTCGTAGTTCGGATCCCGCTTGTGCCCGCCTTGAAGTATCGACCGTCAGAAGCCCCGACCACCGCACTACGTCACCTAAATATACATGAGTGCTCCTTTGATTTAATTGCCCGCTTGTATTGCTTTGTGCTAGCAAGCCCCTCTTCCGCTCAAGGGTAGCGTTCTTGCCTCCAAAAGGCTAGAGCGCGCCGCACATTTTGGGGTCCAAACTCCCGGACCGTGACACCTAGCCTTGCAAATGGCTTAGCCATGCGAGGGATACGCTAGCACTAGCAATTGGAAGCAAGCACTGGCCGCAAGCCTAGCTTGGTGCATGCACGCACTAGCTAGGCCTGATGGCCGAAGTGCGTGTTGTTGCTAGCACTAGTCGAGTGCGGGGCACTGCTAGCACAAGCTAGCAAGGTCAGCAGCTATACACGTAGCGTGTTGGGCCTCGTTGAAAGTTTTTGCGCCTAGCAAGCACTAGCAGCCCGCAAGAGCATACGAGCTTGCGGCAGCAACAACAGGAAAAGGCTACACATACAATGGTTGTATGTGGTGGCCTGCATACAAACCATTGTTGACAGCATTTGATTGGTTTGCAGTTTAGGGTCCACTTTCCCCATCTTGTTTCACCCTATTTTTTCCCTTTTATTTTTTTCCTCCCTTTTGACGTGGCATACATACAATGGTATTATATGTGGGCTACCACATACAACCATCGCGGAAACAACGCCCAACAGCATGAGTTGCCCGCAAGCGCACAAGACCTGTTGTGCTGCGATGGGCTGTTGCTGGCAGCCGAGAGCACAAGGCTGTCAGCTCTGGCATGCCTTGCTGCTCAAGGAAACCGCTAACTGGCCGCTCTTTATTGACCCGATTTTGCTTGGGGAACAAGGAAGGCCTTGTGGTCTTCACCTAACCCTCCCATATTTGTGCCACTTGTTTGATTATATGACTTTGTATTTAATTTGTTTTAGAATGAAATTAAATGCAATTATTTCTCAAAGTCCCACATTGATTGGAAATGAAAGGGATGGAGATGTCACTCCTATAATTACCCAAGGCGTCTCTTAGGAATTGTTGCAAGAGTTGAACTCTATAAAAGACATCTCAATTGAGAAAACCTGATAAGAAGATCATCTTTTTTAGTAGTGTTAATATTAGCCTAGCCGGTAATATTAGCTAAGGCCCCGTTCTCTTCACCTTAATTTTGCTGAACTGAAATTATTTTTACTGAACTGAAATTATTTTTGCTGAACTTAAATTATTTTTACCAAACTTAAATTATTTTTACTGAACTGAAATTATTTTTGCTGAACTGAAATTATTTTTACAGATTTTCTATTATAATTCTTCTTTAATAAAACTGAATTTTGCTGAACTGAACTTATTTTTACTGAACTGAAATTATTTTTACTGAAATGAAATTAATTTTACTGAACAGAACTTATTTTTATTGAACTAAAATTATTTTTACTTAATATTATTTTTTTAAGGTGAAAAGAACAGGGCCTAAGTTTGGGCGCGCGGATGGAATACGTAGGAGGGGTCGCGCTTGAGGCTCCTTCTCCATTCGTGAGTTCGTGCTAAGTGAAAAACACAAATCAAGGGTATGATTGTATTTCTCTCCCTTTGTTATTAATTATGTGGTTGTTAATTAGTATGTGCATGTTTAGTTGCTTTAATTTGTGTGCGGAATTGGGCGGGTTTTTTTTCCGCGTAGTGTTGGACACTACGAAACCCAACAAATTGGACACAAGATTTTTTATTGTGGTAATAAATATTAGAGAACGGTAAAAATACAAAATTATCCATATGACTATACATAAACTAAAAAAATCAAGTGTTGAAAAGCAAGAGTATATTAGGTATTTACACTGTGAACATAGATATTTTTTTCCTAAAATGATTATGGTGCAATATTTATAAGGAAAAATTGTTGGGAATAATCCCACCTTTTGAGCATCCGCGATAAATAATCCCACATTTCGGATTTTTTTTAATAAGCCCACATTTATACCCAATCCGCTCAAAATGGTTCCGGGTGACCAGTAACCGGTTGAAGAGATAATTTTTTTTATTAAGTTTATTTTACACATGTCACAATTTAATTTGTCCAAATTTTTTTTAAAAAAAAGTAAAATCAAATTAAAAAAGAAAAAAAAAACCAACAACACCAAGTTTCAGCCACCACTATCTCCACCCACCACTCAAACCCAGACCTCGGAACTACCACCTCATCCAGCCCCGATACCATCGTCCGTCGCCGCCAAGAAACCAACGCGACACCATGCCGACTAGGATCCCACCCCAGCCAGCCCAACCCCAAAACCCCTTCAAAAAATCACAACCCACCAAACCTACCCCTTTCAAAAATCGCAACACACCAAACCAACCCCTTTCGAAAATTCGCAACCCACCAAACCAACTAGGAACGGTCGGAATGGGGGATAGGGAAGACTGGTGCGGTCGAAAAAAGAATAGGGGACGGGGAGAGGGTTGGGATCGAGACATGTAAGGGGTTTTCGAAGGGAAGGGGCTGGGATCAGTACGGGAAAGGCGTTTATCAAGGTAGGAAATCAGTCGCAACGTCGTGCCAAAGCTGTCGTTGGGGACTGGGTGGCCAGAGTCGCAAGGGTGGGGATTGAGGTCGGGGGTGGGTGGTTTTTTTATTTATTTTTTCCTTGTAAAATATCTAACTTTTTTTTAAAAAAAAATTTACCAAATATAAGTCGCCACGTGTCAAGTAACTTGTTATAACAGGTTACCTAACCGGTTAAGACCATTTTGAGCAGATTGGGTATAAAGGTGGAATATTAAAATTAAAAAAAAAAAAAAAAAAAAAGAGGGATTATTCCTAAAAAAAATTTCCTATTTATAAAACTTCCTTAAAAAGTGATACAATATTTTAAAAAATAAAGTAAGTAGATTAAATTACTAATTACAATACTCATTAATACTTCCTCTCTTGTTCTTTTCTTTAACACTTTCTTTGTGATTTTTTAATCCCTATAGCATTTTCTCAACAATAAATGATTATTATATTATTTTCCCTTAAAATTCGCAAACAATTCCAAATGTAAAAAACAAATTGGAACAAATGGAGAATTTAACAACATATTTCATGGTTACATTTGTTTTTATACATTACTAAAAAAAATTATTGATCAAAGGTAGCATATGAAAAAAATAATTATAATAATATAAAAAAATCAAAGGTAGTAATTCTAGGAGTTAATTGACATAAAGAATATCTTACAATTATAGCAAAATCACGACTTAGGAATCAAAGTAGATGCTATGTAAACATGGCATTACAACCTGGCAATAAAATCACTTTTCCACGTAGTTCAATAATGGCAAGCCTTCAAACACTTCAAAAGCTCTGAAAATCGTGCAACATATCCGTTTTTCTTTTATTGCACCATAAGAACTTTTTCACTATTCCTTAATCTTCTTTGACCATCTTTTGTGATTTATCCATTAAAAAAAATATAGTCATGTGGAATCAAATTACATTTGTCTCGAACTCTACTTTTCAAATATCAATTTTTAATAATTTTTACAAAAGTATAATTAAAGATATTAATAGCCAAAGTAATGTATTGGCAAGCGTAAAACCCCTATGGTGCAATAAAAAAAGAACGGAAGAAGTATATAATAATGACTAATCCAACAAGAATCAGGATAAGTTAAGGTACCTACTCCTGAAAGCTATCCTAGGCTCATCACTAATTGATAATTAACAAAGCCTTAACCTTAAAATGGAGGACCAAAAATCAAACTGCCGTTCGAAAAGCTTAAAACCGACTCTTCTGGTGCTCTAACCCTCGAGAAAATAAAAAGACCAATAAATTTAAAAAAAAAATCATAAACGACGAGGCGGCTGGTTATCTCTGATACAATTGCAACTGTGATGAGATCAAAAAACTGATTATCCATTTTCAGTAAACATGGTAAGCCCAATACAATTAACCTGAATCACATGGACCAGGCCAAAAGAAATAGGGTAGACAGAGTAGAGTTGTAGGTAAGCAAGAATCGCAACTACATATTATATACAAGCTTTTCAGTCAACTCACAATGCAAGATTCTAAATTTCTGCACAATCCAGCAAATTAAAGACCCCATGCTTTTTCCCCACGGCTGAGGTCATCTCAATCAAAGAACTTTTAAATCCCATTTGCCCACCACCTGACGCTGGTAAGTACATCTGCCAATACATTACAGGAATTATCTAACAGACAATGCATATTAGTCTGCTCTTAGCCTCAAAATCTCCTTTGCTGTTCTTTGTCGAAAATAAGGCATGTTTTCCTACAATAAGAAAATTGTTTAATCAAAAACCAGGAGTTCACATATTTATACCATATAAAAAATGCAAGGTTAGCCAATGTTGATGTCCAATAACATGGGCAGGTCAGATTTAGGCAAGTGCATTATATTTCACTGTCAAGACAGCTAACAATTGAACATGATCCAGCACCAGTTAGGAATTTAAGAAACAAAATGCCATAGAACATGTAACAACAATCTATCAATCATCTTCAAACGAATTATTCTATCATACGTTGATAAAATCTGGAAAACCATGAGGTAAAAATGTTATCTTCGAAGCTCATTGGCCTACAGTTATTCACGATGAGGGTAGTCACCATCCAGCACAACTCAGTAAATGTAAGTATACACTACTACTACTGAACTTCTAAAAATGAGATTGTGTGTGTGTGTGTGTGTGTGTGTGTGTGTGTGTGTGTGTGTGAGAGAGAGAGAGAGAGAGAGAGAGAGAGAGAGAGAGAGAGAGAGAGAGAGAGAGACAGAGGAAGATACTGTATATAGTGGGTATATTAATAATTGTCAATCACAATATGCTAGTGTCGTTCTTCTTGCCATTTTTAAAACCTACCTTGTATATGCGACTCTACCTTGTCAAATCCCTAGTTACCAATTCTTATTATAAGATTGGGCTACATAGCATTGTGTCTCATTAACCTCTCACTTGAGAACACAAGTTACACATCTATCACCTAAAATTTGGGTAAATAATTACATTTGCTCAAATTTACAAAACAACAGCTCAACCAAAGATGCTAGATGGATGACATTAAAAGAATTTTGTGTTGATCTTTAACAGTTTAATAGAATACAAACTTTTTTTTAATGGGAGATTCATCAACGAAATCGGCAACAAAAGCGACAGAAGTCAAAAGAAGAGTAGGTGGCCAAAGATGGGGGATTTGAGGATGAATTGGAGAAGGGATGGGATTTAGGTTATCAATCAAGGAACGGGGGAAGCTAATTTGGCTAAGAGCTGCGTGATTTGGGAGAGAAGATTAAGAATTGAAGGGAGAGATGAGAAGTGAGAGAGCCAGAAAGAGTCGACGCCGTTATTGAAGCGTAGAGGGAGATGGATTATTGAGCTAAAGGTGATACATTACAGAGGAGCAAATGAAGGAGGTATTAGTTGACGTGAAACAAGAACAAACAATTATCAGATGATGTAGTTTTTTGTTTTCAGTTTTCACAAGATATGTTTATAGTGGATCCCTCCCATATATTTTAGCAATAGGGTGTGTAGCAAAAAATTATCCGGGAGAAAAAAGATAAATGTGGATGAACTAAGTGATGAAAAATATCCACTACCTTTTATATACACCCAGGTGCACATAGAGGTAGGTGCACTCATATTATAATCTATTGAGCTTAATATCTCGGATTCATACTAGTTTCTACCTCACAATGAAAACACTCCTTTTCAATATGGAGAACAATGGGATTAGAGTCCTTGACCACAATTCTATTGAGAAAAAGGAAACATTATATGCCAGTACAATAGACTAAACCAGTTGGCAATTATAATTGAGGTGGTATACATCTAGACAGGCCTTTTTTCGTGCCAGAAGAACTCATGCACATATGCTCCATATAATTTGCTAGATCACAATTATAACAGAATACTTCTAGGAGGTTCAATAAGAATGATTGGTCAATTTATATACAGAAAAGGAGCAGAAGGAATTCCAATGTAGAATAATTGCAGTTAACCCAAGTTACATACCTGGGAAAAATGTAGACCCAAGCCTCTGCTATAAAAATCAGCATACTTGATCATAAACACACCACAATCAAACCTGTTCCAAAGCAGAACTTGATTTAAAACAATATTATTAACAATTAAAACTACAAACAAACAAAAACTTAAAACAAAAGCAACCCTACTCCTTAAAGGAAACAGAGTGGGAGGAAAAATATGAAAAAATAAATAAATAAATAAAAGAGACCATCTACAAATTTTGGAAAATTAAACTACTATGTATATCCGTAGCAGGTAAAGGTAAAACTATTTTATTTCTCTTGGGTAAGTTTAAAAGAACATACGGGCATAGAGCTATAATTCATTCTTACATAGTTGTCAATAAGAGTACAAGTCACAATACTCTTAACAAATTAAGAGAATTAATTTACTTGATACTAGTGTTTTCATCTTCACATTGGATTGATGTTATAGTTCATCCATGAGCCAAAGCAAGACAACTCGTATATTAACTATCTTCATCTTCAAACCCCAACAAGAGGCGAAGTCCGCAAAGGGTAACTGACGGTTGTATATGTGTCAGTATGTCGCCCTTTAGAGATCCCCAACATCCTCTTTGGCCTCAATTCAGATATATACCTTTAATATGAGATATTAACTTTATCTCAGCATGGTTGGTATTCTTTGTTCTTGTATCATATAGATGGAGGACTACTTGGCCTCTTCACTATGAAATTAATTATCAATTAATAATTACAAAATCCTAATATTAGAGCTAAGTAGACTTAAACCCAAGATCATTAAACAGCTGGTGGTTAGCTTGTTTTAATTTGCTATGTAAAGCTTTTTTGAAGTTCAGGTAATAATGTTCATCCCCGAATCTCATAATGTTAAATTGTAAATCATATAACGTTAGTAACTATTGTTTGGAAAACAAAAGATTCTGATACACGATGTATATGGAAACAAGGACTTGTTCTCATGGAATGCAGAAAACTAAGTCTAATAATTTGATATAAGCTATTATCAAAATGTTAAGAAAGTTACTATTCTTCAATTTATTTAGCCCATGTGAATATAGTTTAAGTTACGATATTTTTACAAAAAAAAATATGAAATTCTTCTTCATCTTGCTATATTAGTAAAATATTCTTGAAACTTTTGGCCACAACATAACCAATAATTTTGATCCAGCCATGTCATAATTACCTCATAACAAGGTATCAACTAAGTGTCCCTACCTGATCGTCAATTTTAATAATTGTAAATACCCTGTTAATATTCTAGTATACGACTTTTGTTGTGTCTTCAGGTGAAGAAAGATCACATGAAAAGGGGAGTACTTCTCAGATAAATACAGAATAGGTCAAGAACTTTCCTTTAGGGAGTGTTAAAAATGCTTTAAATTAAAGGGGTGTTTTTGGGTTAATTGTATTGGTGATGGGGTTAATTGTAGTGGTAATGTCAAACTTTTGATTGTACCACCATAATCATATTGAGAAAGTCCTTAACACAAGCTTGTAGTATAGGAGAAATGCTGAAATAGTTCCAACAAGGAGGCCCAAAAAAATGGACATATGTTGTCTCAAATAGCAGAAATCTAAAAAAAAAAAAAAAATCATAATGGGGCATTGAGATGATTGGTAAAAGATGGCTAAAGTTCACCAAGTTCAGCCTATTCCAGACAACCAAAGATCATAATGGGGCTAAATAATCCCAGCTAACTAGCAGTTAGATCTCTTCCTAAATGGCTAAAGTCTCTAAGTGAAACTCTTCTCCACCAACCACATTGTACTTAGGTCTAATGCATCATCATATGTATGCTTATCAATTACATCAAATTAGTAATTTTGACACTTATCTTCCTTCAAACTCTTCGATCAATGAGTAGCTCATTACACTTTGGGACTCCAACCTTTCAAGAACTGAGTTTCTATGGGCTAACCTAAATTTTATTGGGCTATAACACTTACATGAAAGGTTCATGCCAGGAGCATCTACCAAACAAAAGAATTACTGATTCACTAAAGTTCATCTCAAAAGCTATTATTGATTTTGATCAACAGCCATCTACAATTCGAATCACCTAACCCCAATTATAAAACCACTTACACAAACAAATTTGAAAAATCAATGAACTAATAATTCTAGAATCTTACATAACAAGATGCTAACATCCTTTAGATACCAGTACAATTTTCTCTTCACTAGCCATACCAAAATAATTCTTAAACTCTGTACTTCTCAATTTTATAATCAGCATCATAATTCACCTTAAACGAAGATCAAACATCAATTCCAAAGAAGAGAAGTAACTGAAGGTGGAAAGAAAGGAGAATTTGGTGCAAATTAAAAGGACACACATGAATTCCCACAAAAATAATACAGCACATAAACACAGATAAAAATAAAAAATAACTATCATCCAAAGGCATGTAAAAAAATAAAACTTGTCCTACTGAGAGAAGAATACAGCAAAATAAAAAGTTAAAAAAATACCCATTCTCTTGTTCTGGAAGGTCTTCCACAAACTCTTGCTTCCATGAATGAAGATCAATCTCTTGCCCGGTTTTGTCCTTGACTTCATCCGCAAAATATCTAGCCTAGAAATAAGGGCAAGAAGAAATCTTTCAATCAACGCAGAATTGAGATGTAAATATCCTAGTTGATCAATGTGATTGGTCTACACACACAAAAACAAGGGAAACAAACCCAAGGAAAAGGTATCCAGCAGAGCTAATTGCTACATGCATTAAAATTGTGAGAAGAGAATAAAGTAGGGGACTAGGTCAAATATGATGCTTTTTCAAGCTAACCTCAATATCTAAGTTAAAAGAAAAATTGAAGATTTACCTAACCAAATGTGAAGAGTACAGCCAAGTGCAAAAAGTGTTTTGAAAACATTGACAATGATTTACATGAGTTGGACTCCAACTTTTAAACTTAATTTACATTTAGTAAAAATCATATTATGGAAACTATGGCTGGATGTGAGAAAAGCTGAAATGTAAAACCCAAATTCAACTGGAAGATTTAGAGAATGCTCAAACATTAAAAGGTTAAGAATGCTGCTACTTAGTTTGTAGAAAGATTACAAAGGCAGGTAATCTTTACAGCAACAATATTAGGTCTTAATCCCAACGATGGGGACAAGTACAAGAATAGAGATTTATACTCAGCAAATCGAATTTTACTACACAGTACACATATAACACTCTCAAACCCAAGCCTGGGTAAAGGAAATGGGTTGTGTTAGCATATAACTCCCTCTCTAGTGCTAAGAGCCTGAGCCTTACAAAACCAATGATCCCCTTAGGCCCTTACATAGTTTAATTTAATTTATTTTTTTTAAAACAAAAGGTATTCATAATGACACACACCCACAACCTCTCACTAACAATGCAAAGTACTATCATCTGATCTATTTGGTTAATTTTATCACACTTGAAAGTTTTAAAAAACTTCCAAGACAATTAGTAATGAAAGCTTACTTGCAATATTTTTCAATACATTCACATCTACAAATTATTATAATTTATTCCTCAATAAATCGCAATTCTATTAGGGTACAAATGCTAAACTCATATTACTATTATTTGAATGCAATGTCAGAGGCAGTAAGCCATTCAAATCCTGAAAATTCTGCTGATGTTAAGTGAGTTAAAAGAGAAAGCTATCTGCCATATCCAGCAAGTGACCTGGATAATGATTGGCTTGATAGTGTAACTTTTGGTTTCAAAGAGGCAGATAACCAGACGCAGGATTATAACACAATAAAACTCAAATAAAAAGGAATTCAGTGCCACCAGTAAAACATAAGTTGAGACCCCTTTCCTAGGATAACACTAGGAGCCAAAAAAAAGGCATAGGAAGCTGGAAATATTAAAGTTCAGGATTTACTCTAAAGAGGCTTTTTCGATATTGATGTCTTGTAATTGACGTATTTTTTTATTTCTATTTCTAATAAACACATTTTGATAAGAAAATGTAATAAATTCATACAAGATAGATAGATCTCTTTGCAAGGAGTGATAACACATTAAAAATTCTGGACCCAATAATGGCTATTAGCAATACATACCAATATTCTCAAAACATGAAGATCTCTTCCACCCAATGAGTCTAGATACTGAAATGTTTTATCCTTCTTATTAATGACTGCCAAACACCAATGCACTTCCTTGTGGATAGGAACAAATATCTGCCATGTTGGAACATTCAGCTTAATAAACACATATATGATGAAATCAAATAACCATTGATAAGACAAAAACCTACTTTGTCACACTCCAAGAGTCCATATCCAAGCTTCCTCTGTGAAGTCCATCTTCTGACAGCTTTATAGTCATAGCCATTTCTTCCACCAATCAGCTGCACTCATGAGGAATAATCAATATTATAATCATTTACCAGTAGATAAAGGGTAAATCATCAGAATAGAATAACCAATACTGGATGACAAAGAGTCCATTTTTCAAAAGCACCAATATTACCCTAATCATCAAAGACTATTACAAGGCAGATGCCACCAATAACAGGCAGACATAACTGATAAGAGCGAAATTAAGTTTTATATACTTCCACCACAGACAATCACCACAAGCTTAGATTTGCAGCACTCACATCCATTTGCAAAATTCAAATTTTAAACACATTATACATACTGGTCATGTGCAAAATCCATTTGCAAAATTAAGATCCCTCAGTCATAGCCATTTCAGCCATAAGACCAGTGTTGCTCTATGGTGTAGAATGTGGGCTTCTAAGAAGGAGCACATTAAAAGGATTGAGGTTACGGAAATGCGAATGTTAAGGTGGATGTGCGTAAACACTATGAGAGATAGAATTAGAAATGAAGTTATTCGCAAGAAGGTAAGTGTGGCAAGCATTGCGGTCAAACTATGGGAAAATCGTTAGTGTTGATTTGGGCATGTAAGACGGAGACCCGAGGGCACACCGCTACGGAGAGTGGAAGAGTGGGACCATGGAGGTGTTAAACGAGGGAGAGAAGACCGTCAATGACTTAGTTAGGAGTTAGGAAGGATATGAAGTATATGGATTTGCATGAGGATAAGGCATTGGATCGTAAGGAATAGAGAATGAGGATCTTAGTCGATGATTACACGGAACAATCAAATTTGGTTCATGTAGCCAACCCCACCTATGGGATAAAGGCTTTAATTGATTGATTTTATGTGCAAAGAATCATTTCAGTGTCTTTCATTTGAATGAAAAAGTACGCACAATCAATATCAAACATGAATGACCAATGAGATCTGATTTCCAACATCACATAACCACCACTATAAAATTGTTAGTCCTAGCAGGTCCATGGAACAAGTCTGGGCCATATCTGGTTACATTGTCTTAATATAAGGACATAATTATCAAAATTGTTTTATTAATATAATATGGAAATTTACAATTTACAATATTACGATATGAACTTAATATTGATATATGTTTAGACATAGACCCAACCTAGACACTAGCCAGTCATGAACTTTCCAAATCGAGCAGATGATCCTCCAAAATTTTTTTTGTTAGGCTGGTCTTTTCAAGGCTTGTCCAATCCTCTTATCTACTCCTCAATACATTGTTATACAAAGTAAGCCATCGACAAATATCCCATAATTTATACAAGCATATGTATAACCCTTAATTGTACATGTGTTATTCTGATAACCAAGGCTTTGTTCTCATATGCTTTACAAAAATAATTCTTAGTTTGATATGTACTAATAAAATTTAAAAAAGGGCTACCCATGTTCAATTCAAACTAAAACAAGGTCATGATACGTTTTTGATAGGTTCAAATCATTTCAACTGAAAGGAAATAAGCTTACGTCCCAAACAAAGTATAGTCCAATAGAAAGCATAAAATCAGCATACTTGGCCAGGGAAATCAATTACAAACCTTCTTATAGAAAAATGTATTGAAGAAATGACAATTCAAAAATTTCTTTGGCTCTCTTCTTTCCCTCTCTTTCAGCAGCTCAAGATATACATTGATGACCTGGAACCAGAGAAAAAGGGGAGAGATGTCAGTGACAAATATGCTAGTATCACTCGTACAAAGATGAAAATTTGGGAAAAGCAACTCACTTCATCATTCAACCATGCACCGGGTCTCAGGCACTGCAAATGCTCACCAGTGATCTGGATGTTGGAGTTGTCATGGGTGACCAAAATCTTTCTCCTGCAGCAGAAGCAAACAAAAATATTATACAAGCAACACTTGTATACCATATGATCCATGTTTAACGCTTAAATACCGATTAGTATTTGAAAAGGCACGTGCAACATCTCTCTGTTCCTCTTCTGTCAGAGGCACAAAAGGCTCACGCAGCTTGTCCTGCAATTGCATAGTAAATAATATCAGTAACCTAAAACCCAGAAACAAACAAACAAAAATGTTAATCATGTACAGTATGATAATTAGACTTGTCACAGCCTCAAAGGCCAAAGCAATAGCAAGGAAAATCTACCTCTGCTGGTTTCTTCTGCTCCTTTGCTTTCTTGTCCATTTGTTTCTGCGACGACCGTAAAGACTGCAACTTAGCCTCTTGTATTTTGATTTCAGAATCTCTAGTACTTTGCCTAGGAGAATAATTTCGGTCTACATTAATCAGCATTTGTTTATATGCCTCACGGCCAAGTGCTACAACTTTACCAGAACGTTCAGCTTTGATCAAATCTGGCACCACCGAGAGACCTTGAATAGCACCATTTCTCAATGCTTTCCCATCCGATTCCCGGGTCTGTGGCTTTAATTCATAACCCTTCACCACTCTACCGTCATCAGAAACAACTGATCTTACTTCATGGCCATCTTCTACAATCTCCACCTCCTCCCACCCATTCGAAATCACATTTTCCTTCTCAGGCTCAGCTTCCACATCAATAACCTTCTTATCCTTACCTAACTTAAAATAGTGCAAAACGTTAACGGCATTTTGTTTCTTCTGCTCAAAAATAGTCCTCAAAGCATTCCCCATCGATTCCTTCTCCCCGAGCCCACTACTCCGACGCTTTAATCCACTCGACAATACTCCAAATCTGTTCGACCTAACAGGAGCATGAACCTCCCTTTTCAGCTTCTCCGGTTCAGGATACCGACTTAACCACGAAACAGCACTGGGTGGTGGTGAAGTAATCACCTTCTTATGGCTTTGAATACTAATTCTACGTTTCTTCGATGTATGCAATTCAATGTGATTAAGATAATAATGATTATGATTCGACGAACCAATAGAAGGAGATTGATTACATAAACTAAAACATTCATCCACCCGCTTACGATTATTTGTTAGGGCACCCATTGGCTAAATCCTAATCCATCTACCCACAACAATCGCAGATAATAATAGCAATATATACCATCAAATTCGACAAATAATCAACGAAATTTGAGAAATATAAACCCTACGAAAGAGAAAACAGATTTCAATCGAACAAACAAGTAAAGAATTCAAACCAGCAGCGAAATTGATGTCGTAAAAACCCTAGAAATTGAAAAAGAGAAATGGCAGGTAAATATGAAATCGAAATTCGGCAACTTAGCGATTGGCGCAGATGGAGAACGGGTGCAGAAGAGATGTGCGTAATTTTGGGTGTTAAAGAAAGAAATTGAAGATTAATGAATTTTGGGTTTTGAGAAATTCCCAATTTATTGAGTAACCGAAGGAGTTTACTACTAAAGCGGCGAAGTGGCAATATGTAAAAAAGAAATATATATATATATATATGTATATATATAGAATTAGGATCATCTGCGAACTAGCTTGAATAATACGAACTGAGAACTCATCCGAGCCGTCCATCACGTTAGATCTAAAAGTCTACACTTCACCCGCCTCATTAAGGGTATTTTCGTGATTTCATCTGTTGAATGACCTGCGTTCTAACTCTCACTCTCTCCTCTTCTTACTTTCTCTCTGTACGTTCTACTCTCGATCTCTCTGAAGGCGCGGTGAAGGCGATTTTAGCGTTCGACTTCGCTCTTCGATTTTGCTCTTCGATTTCATTGTTTTTTCTCCTTTGATTTCGTAAATTCTTTGTTGTTCTTCTGAGATTATCCTTTTTTTGCTGTGATTTGAACACTTTCAAGAGGTAATTTTCTGAATTTTTTTGTTTTGTGTACGTTCTTTATTGATTCACCATATAATTAGGGAATTTGCTTAGTTTTTGTTCGATTTTGTTGTTGATTTCTATTATTATTGCTTTTGGTTTGATTTCTATTGTTATATTGTTCTATTTCGTTTTTGTTTTCCATTTTACATATAATTAGGGCGTTTTTGTTTTCGATTTTACATATAATTAGGGTTTTTGCTTGTGTTTTTGTTCTTCTTTTGTTTTTGAATTAGATCTTGGAACTTCCCTGCCGGTTACTTCTAATCAAGTAATTCGAATTTTTTTCTTTGTTTGTTTTAATCAATTAGAGTGTTTTTAATGAATTATATTATCTCGAGCTTAAATAATTTAGGTTTTCGGTATATTTTTGTTAATTAATTTTCTGAATTTTGATGATTATTGGAATATTTGGGTTTACTATGATTGATAAGGATCTTAGATTCAATATTTTGGAGATGCTTTAATGCTTGATTTTGGTCATTTGGATCGATTTGCAATATAATCTGATGAACTAATTGCAATCGGAGATTTGTAAGTATTTGATGAATTGGTATGCTTGAATGCTGAATTTTTGTCATTTGTATATGTTTAATTGTTATATTGTTTAATGAATTTTAAAGCTTGAATGCTAATTTTTGTCCATAATACAACCAGTTACTCCTGTTGTTGGTGAGAAGCCTGGCTCTTTAAGAATGTCTAAATTTATTGCTGCGTGCTAAAGGCTCAGTACTTGTAGTAGTTGAGCGGTCTGTAAGAGATGTTGATTCAGACTCTTTTGATGTTGTCCATGCATTATAAAGATAATTGAGATTCATGATTTTGTTATTTGTTGTAAAAGGCGTATGAAATTTGGTCAATTAAATTTGCTTTGAACTATTGCATTGTGCAACATAATAACATAATGGGCATAGAGTATGTGTGCAATGCAGTAGTTTGAATTTCCAATATATAGAAAACTCTAGTATTATTTACTTTATGGGGGGTGCCCATAGAGTAGTCCTTCAATTGCGGATCCATACTGAACTAGAAGAAACCATCCACTCAATTATTCATTTTACCTTATGTAATTTACTTTTAAGTTAAAATTATTTACTTTTGAGTTTAAATTGTTTACTTTTAAGTTTAAATTATTTACTTGGTTTTGTTCGTACGGGTAAACTTCTCATCTTGCTTTAATTTTCATGATCACAGTTCCTAGTTGGGTGATGTTTGTATCTGTTATTTTACAACTATTGGATAGGTCTTGGTAAGATACTAAGATGATATTATTTAGGTGCTTGTAATTTGAATGCCATTTGTCTAGTAGTATTTTTATTAATATTATATAACAGAGAAGGCTTTGATGTTGCTGCCTGCCACCATGCTTAGTAGGCCTTGACTCTGATAATGTCTATGTTGAAACTTTTAACACAATGATTAACTTGTCTAATTGACGTTATAATGGTAATGGTCCAAAATTCGCAATGCATGTACATATATTATACGTAATATTTTTTTTTAATGACTTTTGAGAACTTTTTATTTACTTTTGAGTCATTTTGTTTTACTTTGAATGTTTAATATATACTAGCCTACTAGCTCAACAGATAAAGCATTGTGCATAAATGCATAAAAGATGTGGGTTCGAATCCCACGTAGGGGTTCATTCATTAGACATAACTATTTTTTTTATTCACTCTACTTTTGAGATTTTTTTTAGTTACTTTTAGAATATTTTGATTCGATTAACTTTACATTCTTTTTTATTTACTATAGAGACCATGAAACTTATTTTTTTTTCTCTACTTTTGAGATCTTTTTATTTACTTTTAGAATGTTTCAATTTTCTTTAAAGTCATTTTTATTTACTTTATATTCTTTTTTATTTACTATAGAGACCATGAAATTATTTTTTTATTCACTCTACTTTTGAGATTTTTTAATTAACTTTTAAAATATTTCAATTTACTTCAAAGTCTTTTTTTATTTACTTTATATTCTTTTTTATATACCCCGTAGCTATCTGTGGCTAGGGAGCAGGGGTGAGTTTAGAAAATGTACATTAATAGATAGAACTATAGAAGTATATGAAAAAATAATACTTGTATATATAAATACAGTTAAAAATAACAAATTAATTAAGCTTTTGTCATTATATTACAAAAGAAATACATCATCAACCTCTCAAAACCAAAAGTTGAGCTGGTATAAAGTAGTGTATAATTTCAACCTAGCTAGAACTCTATGTATTATACTATGTGATCTGATGGTATAACGCTAGAGCAAAATAGCTAGGAATTGAACTGAAAAACCATTTCAAACAAGTTACATACATCAATCTAGCATATTTCACTAAACATAGTAGCAATATTATATGAGTAGCACCCAATAAGATTAATATATACCATAGTATAAGGCAAGATATCTATCTTTTTTTTATATAGCTTACCTATAATTTTTTGAAAATTTTCAGGGTGGCAGGTATCTGTAACACCCCTTGATAATCATAACCAAACACGTCGGCTGATAATGGAAGCAACGTAACAATGTGTTGCTGGTTGTTGTTGTTGAGTGGGTTAGGCAGTTGAATTGGGCATATATGTGGTGGGTTGCAAGGTACTTGAGGCTGGCAGCAAGTGGGGGTGATGAGGGGTGTGATGATGTGTTGCTATATCTTTCTGGATGTATTTAGTTCTACATCTCATATGCCCTATTTAATTTTTCTTGAGCCAAGTTTTGGTGCCTCCAACTCCTCTGTTGTCCTACCATGGCTAGCTGCTGAAAAAATCCAAGTATATATATATGTTTTTTTTGTTTACTTCTGCGATAATTTTATTTACTTTCCTTTACTTCGAATGTTTAATATATACTAGCCTACTTTGATAGATCAGTTTATTTACTTTTAAGATATTTTGAGTTACCTTTAAGTAATTTTTCTTTACTACGAATGTTTTATATACTAGCTCTATTTATTATGTTGAATTACTTTGCATGACTTGTTTTCTTTGTTAGAATTGGTACTACATCAACATGTTAATAACACAAATCTACTAGCTCGATTGGTAGAAAGAGATAATATTAAAGTGTTTAACATTAAATATATCCAAAGTCAATTAATTTTCAATACACCTTTAAGCTAAGTTGACTTACTTTTTGGTTATTTCAATTTACTTTTGAGGTATTTTGAATGCCTTTCGAGTATTTTATATTTACTTTTAGAGATAACCTATGTAGAATCGAACCTACACCTCTATGCATCCGCATAGTTGTAGACACCCATTTGTGTCTCCCAAAACCAAACCCGGTGATGAGTACCTTTCACGTCAAATCATAATGGAATGAAGCTAAAGTGTGGAAAGTTTAGTGTTGCGGATAGTTTTTAATTTCTTTTCTCTTCTCTCTGTTTTTGAAAATTTATTTTAAGAAAACAGTCAAACTAGTTTGGTTGGTCCATGATATGGGTACAATAGTAGTGTAGTTGGATGGAGCTTGACAAGAGCTTTCCAACGATATATTATAAGCCCAATTCCGATGAATATTGAAGAAGTTATGGCCAATTTATTAAACTGGGCTCGGTTTGAGCCTTATATGCGACCCAATGATCTAGGGAATGGCCTAATATGATTTATCATTCCTAATGCAATTAGGAATGGTTGTAGTCTTCTAAATTCTTGTAGAAGGTTCTTTTCATTCCTAATTCAATTAGCATTGATAAATTGACTTTTGTTGACTTTTCAGAGTTTTAATTAAAATTAAATAGCATTTTCGAGGAAAAGATACGATTTTATCCTTCAGTTCGGCAAACTTATCTGATTTTCGAAAACGCGTTAAAAACAGGTTTGGCGCCTGGAACCAGGCCTGGCGCCAGCCATTGGCGCGTGGTGCTGGCGCCAGCCTTGTTTTGCGTGCGCCAGCTCTGTTTTACGTGCGCCAAGTGCTCTGTTTTGATATTTTATCTTTATGGCTGATTTCTCTATAAATAACGTATTAAAAATTCCGTTTTCATTCATCTACAATCAGTTTTCATTCACAATCATTAATTCTCTAATTCTCTCTTTAATCATTCACCAATTCTCATCAAGTTTTCTTCTTTAATTCATTAATTCATCTTTCTCTTTCTTTTTCTACCTTGCTTTTTCATACAAAATTCCGCATTCACAAAATCTAGAAACACCTAGCCATATTCGAAGTTGCCATCGCCCTAAACGTGAAAGGTTTAATTTCTGAGGGTTTAGTCCCAAATCTCTATTTCAATTATTTGATTTAATTGTTTGATTATTATTTTCCTTGAAGTTACTAACGCGTGTATTTTTTTATTAGAAAGAGGTACGAGGCATCAAAGTAAGTACTTTAATGGTTTTAATTGGTGTTATGATGTAGAAATCATGTTTATATTGTTATTATGATATTCCTAGTATCATGTCTAGAGTAATTTTAATATTAAATATGATTTCTGCGATGCTTCCTATGTTCTTCCTAATATTTATGATTGTTAGTATCATGTTAGGGTTAAAGATTTGATTTTTATTGTTTAGCGACATGCTAGGGTTTGTTATTAATCTTGTTAGTATCATGCCTAAGATCTTGCTATTATTATGCTTTAATGTTAACATGAACATGATTATGATTATAATTGTTATAATTTATGATGATCATGAATATTATTATTATTATTATTATTATTATTATTATTATTATTATTATTATTATTATTATTGTCATGATTATGATTATGCTCTTATATGATTTTTATTATCATGATTATAATATTATTATTCATGATTGATTATTATTATGTTGCTTGATATTTATTGTTATTGCTTGATCACGCCTTTATGCATGTTTAAAGGGAATTTGTACTTGTAATCACGCTTAATTAGATAATTAATAATCTTGTTAGGGTTAATATGATTATAATTCAAGTGATCGCCAATAATAGTTTTATTTGTGCATTAATATTCAACCAACATAGATAAACAGGTTTAGGGTTAATCCTATTGATTGTATGTTAATCAGAAAGTGCACATGAATACGATCAGAATAAAGTAGAGGCCTATTATTAGGGCAGGTTCAATCTCTTTTAGGTTGGATTTGTACCTTCATCCCCGAACCCTTATTTGGTTTAAGACCTTATGGAGTTGACGATCTCTTGGATCGTTAAGGGGTGTAACCTTAACCATGTGAACAGTTTACAAGTTCCTAAAACTTTAGTGTATGATCACAGTGGGGTTCAAGCTAGGGGTTAACGCTTGAATTTATTTCACACAGTATTTGGCGACTCCGCTGGGGAGGATTTCTATTTTAATTCCTGAATTTGTTTCGGCAATGATTTAGAATGAGTGGATGAGACTCGAAACGTTCTAAGTATTTCATGTGCGTAATTTTGATTAACATTATTGTCATATGCATAAAAAAGATCTCATTGGAAAGACCATCCGTAATGAGTTAAAAACATAGGATTTTACATGTAGGAAATTTGAGAAATATCTTTCACAACTAGGACCGAAATAACACCGCGTGAAATCAGAAAATTTTATCGAGCACAGACAGCTGCTGAGGCATGTGGGAAGTAGCATCAGGAGCCAGAGCATTGGCGCCAGCATTTTAACCGTAGCACCAGATGCCAGCACTGGCGCCAGGCGCTACAGCTAAAAGCTAGCGCCAGTCTCTGATTGCTGGCGCCAACCTCCCCCAATACCGAGCCAGAAATATGCGTTCTAATTTCGACCGATTTTTCGTATTGTTTGCTCGATCCTACTTCCTGTTTGAATTTTTTCTCTCTTTTCTGAAACCCATATGTGTTCTACATATGGACGTAACCCTCTGAGAATTCATGCTCCATCTACCCGATTGAACACTCCGTGCAACAAAGGGTACATTCGAGATTGTTAAATTCACCAAACCATGGAAGTGAGTTTTTTCTAAAACTCGCGGTGTCCCATCCACTCGCGCCAACCCTTCACGGTTAGGCTTCCGCGCGGTGCATTCGGACAATTAACCATGGACCCTCTATTGACTAAACCATATCCCGAACTTTAGAGAAATAGAGCCATGGTTAGGTTGCAAACGCATTGCATCATATTGTGCCTACTTGACTAATTGTGCATTATTTGTTGTGCATATATATTATGATTTCTCTTAACCGTTTGTTTGACTTGTGTTAAGACTTAATAAACTGATTAATGACTAAAAGACTTTGTTTAATTAATTAATTAATTAATTAATTAGTTTTAGCTAATAAATATGTCTAGAGTCATTAGTTCCTTTAAGTCGACCCAGATTTTTATTCCCGTATACTGCACAAACGTCAACTTGTTTTGGTCATAGCCGGAGTTCTAGGAAGAACTACGAGTCATACAACCTATGGATCTGTAGCCCCGAGTTTTATCTTTCATTTGGCGTTGGTTTCATCCAAATCAGAGTCGCAGATAAAAAGTTATGACTAAAATACCACAGTCTGTCAAATTTAATGCATATACGTGAAGTCTTAACTTAGTCTTTGCTTGAGTCTAGTCACATAGTCTAGCCACATGGTCATGCCACGAGTCTTAACATACCATCTACACTCACTAGTCTTAGCACACACTTTGATTATGTCACCATGACCATGTCTTAGGTTCATGCATGAGTCGGTCTTTTTCCGTCATTTGAGTTGGGGGGTACATTCTATTCCTAATTCTTCATACCCCTCCATCTACATCATTTTCCTTCACATTCTATTCCAATATTTCTTCACATCCTCCTTCCATTGCATGTTGAATAGAGTTTGAGTTAAATAATTAACAATGAATATCCCCAAATTCCTTTTCCACAGTACTTGGTCGAGGAGAGAAGGGCGATTAATCAAGGACAACCTCTTTATTCAACTTTCACTTTTCGATAAACCGATTCGTCAAAAGAGGAAGGCTAAAAGGATAATGGCAACTCAATAAGAAGTCAATGAGCTTAGGAACCAACTAGTTACCATGACTGAAACACTGAAGCTCCTCACCCTCAAGGTCGATGATCCCGTGAAGCAACAACAAATGATCCTCATGCAAGAAAGTTTGGGGAAGCTATCTAGTGACTATAAGTTTCAGGGCATGAGTTCACAAGGGGTCTCGCTGGACAAGGAACTTTTTCCACATAAGTTCAACGCCACTGACATCCCTAAATTCAAGGCAACAGATAACTCTTACTTCCATCTAAGAGCTTTCGAAACTATAATGAACATTAAGGGTATCAATAAGAAGGTTTTCCCCTCTGTTCCCACTATCTCTTGAAACCGTTTTTCAACAATGGTTCTTCTCCCTTGACAAGGAGAAAACCTCTACCTGGGAAACGATAGTAAACGCTTTCGTTGATAGATACAAATGCAATATTCAAGTTGAAACCTGTTTCGGGGTTTTCTGATGTCCTGCGGGAGAGCTACAATTCCGAGACTGGAACCGGACGCCTGTACCTGCAAAATAACGGAGACTCCTGAGAGCTCCGCCTCCAACGGTCAAGTTAGTACCTGATTAAGGAGTAATTAATACAGAAATTAAAGTAATAAGGTCTCTCTAGGTGAGAGTATTTAATGTAGGTAATCTGCTTTGCTAGCGAGATCAGCCGGTTATTAGTGTGTTCTGTCAATTATTCGGTCCCTTGATTAATGAGGATTAATCGAGTATTTATAGCCTTGGGAAGCGTGCAACTCTCTAGGTTTAAGGTAAACCTAGGGCCGATCGGGCTTCTAGACTGAAATGGGCCTTGATGGCCGGTTGTCCCATTTGGCATGGGTGGACACGTGGCGTGTCTTAAGTGGTCCGTGGAGGACGCGTGGCGGAACCTGGTTGGTCCACTTGTCAAACGGCGCTTGGTGGATAAAAATCCCCTAATCATTTGCCCCTCACAGGTGGCACGCGACTGGTCACGTGTCGCCTGTGACAGGTGTCGCACGGTGACAGGCGACGGCCCGTTACA